AGATGGAACCACCGCTCACCAGCTTCAGTGGCTTCAGATAGAGCCTTGACCTCCCCTCTCTGTAGCACGACATGCCACATGCTGAACCTGACCAGTGGCCATTAGAGACATTTTCTGCCAGCCGGCTCTGACACCTGGTGCCTCTTCTTTGGACCTAATGACAATTCCGTTCCCTCAGAAGTTTCTGATGGGCCAACAGGAGTAGAGGGGATGCATATCAGGATTTCCCACAGTGAGTCACACGGGTGAGGGGGCTCTGGAAGCAGATCCCACCCGTCTTCTAGATGATGGGCTGAGTCAGGACAAACGTTTTTATTGGCCAGGGCGCACAATTTTTCTGAAAAGGGGGCTGTAGATGACATCACTGGTCAACCCCAAGAGTACTGGTACCAACTGCGAATCGTTCAGGGTTCTACCTCATTGGTACCCCAACGACTGTGCATTGGAGGCCCTTCTAAAGGTGAGCGGCTCATTTCAAACAAACTAGCTTCCCTGGCGATTAAAAATGTTCCTTGGTTCTCAGTTAGCATTGGTTCCCCTGAGAATACAGAGGTGCTGTTCCTGGGGCTTCCCTCCTTTGTTATTCTAACAGCATGCTCTCTCTGATTCCTACGGTGGTGACCAACCCCCCACCCCCACCCCCGGCTCTTGCTCCGTGGATCGCATCTGCCGTCCCTGAAAAGCCACCTATTTGGCTTGTTTTGTTTTCTTCTTTAATTCTTGGGCTTGTTCTTTTTGTTCTTGAATTTGAGCCGACTCAAAGCCCGATTCAGTTAACTCTGAATAGGCACAATTTCCCAGTTGAGTCTGGTCTTTTCCACTAGTTCAGCAATTCCGGATGTTAGCCATTCAGAATTAAAAGCAATTTCTGTCCCACCATCTAAGTGTAATCCAGAATTCTCTATGAAAAGGGTAGCTATAATCAGTCCTGGTAGTTACAATTCCATCCCTTTTTGACGTAGTTTCAAAATTTAGGCCAAGACCCTTTTCAGGGAGAGGACGATCAGGGCTCTGCTTTCCTGTGGACTCCCGAGGGAGCTGAGCTCCATGGCAGAGACTCTCAGGGGCTCTGCACCCAGCTTCCCTGCCTGTGTTATGATGCGCGTCAGTGTTGATTAAAAGCTAAAGCCTGCAGGACACTGTTGTGGGTCTTCATGTGGTCTGGGGGAATTCTTTTCACACTCATGAGAAGTGCTGCTTTGGACTTAGCACCCACAAAGTGTGTGTGCTGGGGGGAAAGGGGTGTCAGGAGGAACAGAGGGGACAGTAGGTGGCACCACAGCATTCACAATGGAAACCATGAACTTGCTACATGCCTTGATTTGTTAGTTGCCAGGAAACGGGCAACTTTCCATTCCTGATTTCTTAGAGAAGCTTGGGCTTAAGGCTGGGACTGTTCGCCTGTGATTTACGGTGCACACCAGTTGATTCGGAAAGGTCAAGAGGTCACATGCTCTGTCTTACATCGGGCTATGTCGCTTGTGTCTAAAGAGACAGGTGGCGTTTCCACAGAGCCCATGCAAGTCCCCGAAGGGCACTCTCTGCTTCTGGATTGCTGAGACACGCAGTGTGCACGCAAGCCGCTGCAGAGCCCACCAAACACACCGTCTCCAGGGATTCCCACCACAGCAAGCCCTAGGACAGGGCGGAAGTGCCTGTGAGCTTGCAAGCCGTGACTCTGCCCCGTGTCCTCCCAAAGGGCAGCTGGTGGTCTCTGCCCTGTGAGACGACGCCACCGCCCGAGGTGGTTTTCTCAGCCCCAGCCCCAAGGATCGAGTGTTCCGTGGTCTCCCCGATATGAACTTTCAAGCCTGACTTTCCAGCGAGAAACCGGAAGGACAATTGAAACCACTTGCCTGTGTCGCAGGGATCTCACAGCTCCTGCGGGAACTTCCGCGGTGGGGCTCAGGTGGTGGTTGCTGTTCCAGGAGGGCACCTGCAGCTTCAGGGGCGTCTTGCTTGGTGGGGCAGCCTGGTGCTCTGGCCTTCCGACTAGGTCATCCCGGCGCAGGTGTCTGGAATGGCTGGCTCCACGGGCAGGGGCCCTGCCCGCGTTTAACCAGACACCCAAACAGCAGAGTGATCTCCAGGAGAAAAGGGAACCAAGCCCCGGCCCCAGAGACAGATACAAATGCAAGTGTCAGCACCGAGAGGCCAATACTGAGACTCGGCCACAGACACAAGCAGACCCCCGGCTCTGAAAGTTCTCCCCGAGGGGCTCCCAGGACCTCGCGGACAAGGAGCGCTCCGTCGGCTCCTGAGCAAGCCTTTGGGCCTCCGGAGGGGCCGGGGGTGCACCGACCTTGCCTCTTGGACAGCAGGCATCGTAGGAAAGAGATTCAGGTTAACACCAAGTCCGTTGCCATTTAGGGGATCCCAGCTCAGTCCCAGTCGGGTTTCTGAGACTCTCAGTGGGAGCACACAGCCTCGTCTTTCTCCCGAGGAGCAGCTGGTGGGCACGAACCCCTGACTTTGTGGCCAGCAGGCCTGTACGAGGTCCACACACCACTAGGACTCCTGAGAGGAAAGACAGTTTAACAGCAGAAAAGCATTTTGCAAAACGAGGAAACACAAAGAACCACTGAAAAAAACGCTCAGAAGAGCTTGGAATTGTAGAGGCAAAAACTGCAGTTAGGGCGAACATTCCGGGCTTTTCTGATGGACAACATTCACAGAGCTGCAGGACCTTGGTTGGCCACCTTTGCACGAGGGGGCTTCCCAGTACAGAGCAAACACCACAAGCAAACACAGAGGTACAGGCTCGCCATGAAGGCCGCATGTATAATACCACATTTACACAACACCAGCTATTTGGAACAGCGACTTTCTGCATAAACTAGCTGTGTGCAGATTAAACGTCCAGAGAACTTTTTTACAGAGGTGCCAGCAGGCTCTATGAAAGAGAAGACTGGTTCCCGTCCAGGTGGCTGGCCTCGGCAGCTGTCTGAGGAGGCTTCAAAGTGTGTGTGTGTGTGTGCGCGCGCAAAGAGGGCTGTTACCTTGTAATCCCGCTCGTCCAACAACTCGCTGAACCTCCCTCATACACTGTTTTCCAACACACACACACACACACACACACACACAGTTCTCCAGAGCGCTGTACCACACAGCAAGACTGGCTAACCTTAACATCAAACCCCCATAAATTAACTTCCCAAGTCACAGAGCATACAACACCCTCACTGCAAAAGTACTGCATGGTAGGAGCATAGTTTATTTCACTCGAAATTAAAGATGGATTTTCTAAATGTCCTGAATCGATCAGATTGAAAGCGCATTCTGTATCGCAGCAAGTGCAGTGCTCAGAGGACCACTCACCGCATTAGAGCCACACATCACTCACGAAGGAAGAACCCAGGCAGTCCCTCAACCCAGCATCGACAACCGTTCATTAAGATTCAGGGAGAAAGATACAACTAGCGGAAGAACAGGCAAGCCATACTGTAAACCGGTTCTTTGACAGGATTAAGAACCACCACCCAAACGGGGATGTGTGACTTGCACGACTAAACGGGCACTAGGCACGAGTCACCCAGCTCCCGGGCCAGAGGCTCCTCATGCAGTCAGGCAGGCACACTGGTCCACTGTCCCCCTCTGATTGTTAGAGCAGGTCAGGACTGAGCCGGCAGCCCAGCAGCTGCTCTGCAGGAGAAAGATTTACCACCTGGCAGCCCCAGGGGCCGCTCCGCTCTGCCCTGTAGGGTCACTGATGCGACGGCAGCGGGTTTGTTTTCCGGGACGAGCTAGAACCACGTGGAAGCCGGTGGCTGTGCCCACACGTGACAGGGTGGCACTGCCTGCAGGAGGCCCTAAGCTGTGGGTGGCAACTCTCGGGTTGAGCACAGCTACTCACACACCCTTGCCGGACCGGGCCAGGCAGCGCAAGCCACGCGTGAAGCTTGGCTGCAGACTGGCCGATGAGCCCCAGGAGCCTGGGCTTCGTTGCGGCCCCACCAGTACTGCCCGTGACCTGACTCTGCTCCGGAGGAAAGGGCTGTGAGGTTGGGGAAGAGCCAGCCGCCAGGGTCTCTGATGTGGGGAAACGCCACATTCCCCCGACAGATAAGCAAGCACAAGCTAGCCCATGCTTCTCATGCTTTCCTGAGCCGTAACCACCTCTGGTGTGTGGTATGGGAGGAGGGACCCAGTGGGTGTGGGGACAGGTCCACCCGTCTTCACCCACACTGTGCCCCAGGCTGCCCTGGCCTCCCCACCCCCTCACCACTGCAGAGCAGGGACCAGAGTCACAAAACACCCACCACACGCCTTTGAGCCCAGCGAGTCAGAAGGGTCACCCTGCCGCAGGTGGGGATGAAAATGGCTGTCTTCACAATGAGGAACACAGTTCACTACAAACGTGCACAGCACACATACACGTGCAGCCCACCCGCACCGTCAGGACTGCTGCAGGACAAGCGTTGAGTTAGTCATTTCGAAGATGTGTGGAGGCTCCCTTTGTAAGCCTCATGGGACTGTGTGGGACTCTGGGGTGCTGCAGCCTTTGGGGGGGCTCCACTGCATGGACGTCTAGGGATGGATAACGTCAACAGAGTGTGCTGGCTCTGTCCCCCACTTTCTGTCCTTGGCCTGCCTGTCGCCATATGAGGCCAACACGCCATCACTGTCCCTAAGCTGCAGTGAGACCCAGAACCCCTGCACAGCGCGCGTCACGCAAAGGCCGGGAGAGCCCGCCCCGCCCACTGGTGGGCCTGAGCCCCTGGCTCTCCTGTGAGCTGCCTCTTGCCTGAAGCCCCGCGCCACCAGGAGCCCTAATCTGTCTCCCTATGAGGGGCTTTGGTTTCCCTGTTGGGGCCTCACTGCCCACAGGGGTCAGGTCAGGTCCCACAGGAGGAGCGGACTCTCAGGCCTGGTGTTTCTCCAGATCTGTCCATCTGTCTCATTCTCTCTCTAAAAGCCATCCGTCCAAGCACTGAGGGAAGGGAGGCCAAGCTGTCAGGCAGCAAGTGGGACAGACAGACAGACAGACACACCCCCTTGTCCACTCACAGCTATTTCTCGCCCACTGGCCTCTCTGCAGGAGTTTGTCCAGCTGGCCAAGAGGGTGCTTGGGGACCATGCCTTAGAAAGAGACCTGGTGACCAGGGCGCGGGACTACGTGAGGACCCACCACTCCTGGCAGACGGAGCGAGCCACCTACCAGAGCCTGGTGTGGAGCCTGGTGGGGTCCCCGGAGCACTGAGGCCCACCCCACCCCGCCCCACCGTGGCAGACAGACGGCACGACAGCAGAGCCTCCTGAAGGAGAGCAGGATGGACAGACACAGCTCCTGCCCACCCTCCGGGCCTCCGTGGAAGCAGAAGCTGCGCTGGGCACAGTCAGCTGCACGCAGGCGGACACGGGGAGCGGGGTGGGGTGGGGTGGGGTGTAGCAGGGACCCCCTAGCTGCTTTCCCACCGCTGCTTCAGTGCCTGTCCTGGTGGGAAGGACTGTGTGTGCGTAATAAAGTGACTCACCCAACAGCCCTGGCTCCCACTGAGTGTCCGCGTCCTGGCGCAGGGCCCGCAGCTGTGGCTCAGCAGTGCAGTGCGTGCAGTAGTCCTGGTGGTGCCGCGGGTCAGGCGGTGCGCTGCTGCCCCACAGGAGGGAAGATGAGGGCACAGGGGGCCTCCCTCCAGCTCCCCCCTTCCGCGTGGGCACACGGCAGTGGGGACCCTGGTGCCTCCGGGTTCGGCCCCCTGAGCACCCAGCCATCCCCTGGAGGCCCCTCCACCACGTGGATCGCCCTTGGCCTTCCAGGCCCCCGCTTTTCTCCCCACAACCTCCCTTGGAAAGCTCCCCCAGCCAGCTCGCTGCGCGGATTAGCCCGCCGAACCCTGCGGGCTGTGCGCGGAAAACGGGGAGCAAACGGGTGCGGCATGGGGGCTCTTCCACCTGAACGCCCTGGGGCCAGGCGAGGCACCCCCGGAAAGCCACAGCAGTGATGGGCAGCCTGCGCGTGTGCACAGCCAGCTGGGCGTGCGTCCCCGGGGCAGTGCCCACACAGGGAGCCCCTCAGCTGGCTGCTTTTCCAGCTTCCTCCACCCTTCTGCTGGGAGCCAACCAAAGGTTGGAGGTTCACACCCACCAGCTGCTCTGAGGGGGAGCTCGGCTGTTTGGAAACCCTCCGGGCAGAGGGCGACCCTCTGCAGGGTCGCCGCGAGTAGGAACCCACTGGCCACAGGGCACTTGGGTTTGAGTTTTCCTCCACCCCATAGGGGCCCTGGCACGCAGTGGTTCACGTGTCCTGCCTTAACCGGCAGGTGAGCATTCGAGGCCACCAGTCCCTCACTGTCTGGAGTGGTGGGTGGGTGGGGCCTCGCCCCTAGAGCCCTACCGAACAGTGCTGCTCAGTGCCAGAGCACCACGTGGTCAGAATCCGCTCCCTGCCGGGGCTTCCGTGTGCGTGCAAACACACGAGCCTGTGCACACAGACGTGTGCCCCAGACACAGCCCTCAGGGCCTCCCTCTGATGCCCCCTCCCCCTCAAGGGTCACTACCTGTCTGCTTCTGCCCCCACTTGCTAGGCTGTGGGGTAGCTGGGGAGAGCAGCCCCACTACTGCCTCCTGACAAGACTCAGGAGAGCACCCCAGCCTGGCTTTGTCCCCACAGCCTGGCCTGCTCGCTTCTCAGTGAAGGGAGGGCCCCCACTGGGCCACGTGCTCACCTTGGTGACACAGGCCAGGCCGTGTGTGTCCTTCCCCCGCCCCAGGGGGCACTTCCGGCCCCACGACTCCTCACCACATGCCGGCCACAGCCCAACCTTGGGAAGTGAGGTTTGATCGCTGTGTTAGTCTGGGTACTTTAGAGAAACAATCCACAGAAACTCATATATATAAGAGAGAGTTTGATATAAAGGTTAAATGCACATCAAAAAACATCCAACCCAGTGCTGCCCAAGCCCACAAGTCCAACATTAACCCACATGTCCGACACCAATCCACAAAGTCCTCCTCCATCTCACAAAAC